TTTTATAGATATTTTATGTCCAAAAGAAGTTAGCTACAAGTTAGTTGACATGTAATACAGGGGAAACCATTTATCATCACCATCAAAATTAGTTAGGTACGGCCGAAGGAAATACTAATAAAAAGTAACAACCAAGTAGTTGACTGCTGGGTAGTTAAAAGTTAGCTATAATCTAGCCTTGTTTCCTGCAGGGCAAGTGCATTTCTAAAAACAAAGTGTAGCTCGCATATTTACATACACACATACAGGCACATACTCACTTATGTATGTATGTAACTGCATTTATATAGAAAGCAAGCGTGCAAGCGGGTTTGCTATGCAAAGTGCAGCGCATTTTAGGTATTTAACAGTAAATTATTAAGAAAAAAATAACGGAGCGCTAAAAATACAAGCATATTTATAGGCTCTACGGCTTCAATAGCAGATGAGTTTTTATATCACTTATAAAAATATAAATTTTCTCAATATTTAGTAGTATTATTTAGAAGAGAGAATCAGGCAGTCTCTGCATTTCACATCCGAGTGAATTTCAACCCCCGCCAATTTGAATTCAACCTGAATTTTATTGAAATTCACTCGGAAGTGAATTAAAGAACTTGCCTGAATTGTTCTTTTTTTTAATTTCCTTATAAAATGTGTGTAGATTTTCTGAGTTCCACAATCCAAAAAAAATATGGATTCACCTATTTAACGTATGATTTTTTTTGTTGTGAGAAATGCATGGAACTCAAAAGTTTGTCTGGCGTTGAAATTCATGTTTTGAGCATACTTCATATGGAGCAAATGCACAACACCGTCAGATAAAAAATTACCGAAAATCTAGGGTGTTTTGTATGCACTTAAAACTTTTCTAAAAATTCTGAAGAAAGTTTAAAATTTAGGTAAACATTTTTATAATTTTTTTTACAAAGTTTAAAATGCGCATTATGCAGTATATTATATAATGAGCTACACTTTAAAAAAAAAATATTAACGATTAAAAAAAAACAAAACAAATGTAGCCAAAACATAAAAGATACGACGTT